ATAATTTTCCTGGGGAGTAAAGCGTGGGCGGCGCGTAAGGATGACAACCTCACCGCCATCTGTGAGCCGATTGTGTAGATAATGTGGGACCCTCAACGTCTCACAACCCTATGGGCCTTCGCGGTCTGTTACAGGGATAGCTTTACTTTACTTTTTATCTTATATTGACACTGTCTCGAAAATGAAAATCTGAAATTCTGGAGAGACGTTTTCGAAAGGGGATTGACCCGAAATCGGAGAGTTTGAGAGGAATGATTGAAAGTTGTCGCAGTTTCTGATTATTTGCTTCGTGCCTTGTAGGCGAACAGACTGTATCGGATTGAAAAGAAAATGCGACGCAAAATTGTACTGACTGTCTAACTTAAAGGAGCAGATTCCATCCTGAGGAGCTGTGTGCCAACTTAGTCAAGAAATTTTCCCGTCTCTGGAACTCGCTAATTCATTACGGTGTTCACGAAATGCGACCAGTGGCCAATGTACTGAGCCTCATTAATCCAATCTAAAATCTCTTACCCTATTTAGTTAAGATCTATTATAATTCTCTTATCTATGCAGGCACCCCCTAAGTGGTACCATCTGCACAGATCTCTCGATTTTAAAGTTTACATTTCTCATTTTCTGGTGCGTGTTACATGCCCTACCCAACTCATCCTCCTTGATTTGGCCTTCCTAATAATATTTGGTGAAGGGTATAAAATATGAAGATGGCAATTATGCAGTATTCTACAACTTTCCATCACTTCCTTAAACGTAGGTATAAATAATCCCCTCAGCGGTTATCAGACACCCACGATGTACAAGTGGATCTTGTAAGAGCACAGGCTTCGACGGAAAAGTCCGCCCCTCTCTTCACGGCGGACTCTCTCATCTAGTCATAAAAGAAAAATTCCATGGCCTGTAGTCCGCAAGCGAACTATACCGACCGAGCGACCGCCGCTTGTCGGCGAAGTTAGTGCGCCTCTGTGGTCTAGTGGTCAGAGTTCCTGGCTACAGATCCTGAGGTCCGGGTTCGATTCCCGGCGCTACCAAATTTTATGAGAAGTAGTGGGTCTAGAACGGGGTCCACTCAGCCTCGTGAGGATAATTCAGGAGCTATTTCAAGGAACTAGCGGCTCCGGTCTAGAAAACCGAGATTAACGACCGTGGGGATTCGTTGCGCTGACCATGAGACACCCTCTGTCCGCAACAGTTGGCTCTCTCACAAGCCGTAACGACCCAAAAGTTTACGTTCTTTTCAGGGAAGCTCAGAGAAATCTCAGTCCGTGTACTTGACTTTTATAATACAACATTAATACAGCACAGTAACCGACTGAGGGTGCACTGTTCATTTGCAATGCATGGGAAATTTGAAAAAAAAAAAATACATTTAGACAATTTTACGCGAATTTCCAACGAGAGTCGTAATGTATGGCACAAACTCCGTCCTAAGTGCAACAATTTATTGTAGTTCTTTTGTCTTCTTTTCTTCTACACTACATGTTTCGGCCGTAAATGACCATCATCAGGTGTATTTCTCTCACTTAGCTGTTACACTGCACGTAGTTTAAAATTTAAAAACATCAGCCTTCTTAATTGTTCATTTCTCCGTTGTTAATAGGTCCCGATATATCAGAATCCCCTTGCTGATATTTGTCAGATATGTATAAAATCTTTGTTAATTTACATACGTCAATTTGATTTTTGGATTTTGGTATTTTTAAAATCGTAATATCTGCAGATCGAATCTAGACTGGATATTTATGTTTAAATTAGTATGAAACTTGAAAACACCAATCTATCAATTTTGACAGCCGAGTTGTTTATTTGCAGCAGTTCACAGTACGAAGAGACCACCTCGGAGCAGGGCAAGCATGCGCAGTACTGTTCCTTTCAGTTCTGACATGCAGTTTGATCTATCAGCCTTCCTCGGTACCTACAAAAACAGTTGTATTCTGCCCGCACTGACTGAACCTGTCTTGTTCTCTTTTTCATCAGAAGAGAACAATTTTGGTGTAAATACTAAATGCTAGTTACAGTATTTGTTTTCTTGGTTAAGGTGGGCGGTAGCCTTTTGCAATTCAGAATCAAGCCCTAACCTATGAGGGTAACACAAACACAGGAGAAACAGGGACGTTTGTCCATTCGCCTAAATGGGATTAGATCTCACATAAGGAACCGAAATCGACACGCGCTGTAGAGCGCACGTCCTCCGTGATGCCCGGCAATAAACGTATTGTGAATTTTGAATTTTTTCAAATCGTTTCAAATCCTTAATATAAATGAAAAATTTCTAATAATCCTATTATTCGAAATAAATCAAATTCTAAATTGATTGACGCATAAAAATTATTTACATTTTCCACAATTGAATATCTATCTGTGGCGATAGAGTAGTTGGCTGAGGCACTATGATACAAGCCAGAAGGTCGTTGGTTCGATTCCTGATGAGGTCATTAGATTTTTCAATTGACCTAATTCTTCCGNTATGATACAAGCCAGAAGGTCGTTGGTTCGATTCCTGATGAGGTCAATTGACCTAATTCTTCCGTCCGCACTATGGCCCTTAGGTGGACTCAGCCTCTAACAGAAATGAGTACCAGGAATCCTCCTAGAGATACAGATTGCGGCCGGCGTTTAAGGCTGACATTCTCACCGCCATCTGTGAACCAATTGTCTAAAAAATGTGGGAGACTCGACGTCTCACTACCCTGTGGGCGTCCACGGCCTGTTACACGGATAGCTTTACGCTTTATCTGTTTATCTTCTTTTATCTGTCTATGGCTCTGCAGTCCTTTGGGTGTTGGCTACTTTTTCAGTTTCGTAATTCTATACACGGTAGGTAGGACTCCTTGGACGGGGGATCAGACCGTCGCAAGGCCGCTAACTACTCACAGTGCAGCACACAGGCACACATGCCTCCGTTCGAGCGAACGAAGATAGTTCACATGCTAATTCCCTTGTACTGCAGCCACTTCTGGCCTATTGTATCAACTCCAGATGATAGGTGAGGGTGATTGTGGAGCAATTGGTGGAATGAAGATTGGCAGGGGAAACCGAAGCACTCGGAGAAAACCTGCTCCAGCGCCACTTTGTCCACCACAAATCCCACATGACCAGACCCGGGATCGAACCCGGGCCGCCGCGTTGGGAAGCCATTGACTAACCGCTTGAGCGATGGCGCGGCCCACCGCGGCCACTTCGGCCACTTCGTTCGGCTTGTCTGAGATTACAGTTTGTGGATTTAGTCTGTATGTTCTGATGTAGGTAAAATAAAACGTACATGACCGCATTTTGCCTTCAGTCAAGTAAGCAACATTTTATAGCGCTTATTAGCATATAAGTAAAAGTATAAAAAGTAAAGCTATCCCTGTAACAGGCCGTGGAGGCCCATAGGGTCATAGGGTTGTGAGACGTTGAGGGTCCCACATTATCTAGACAATCGGCTCACAGATGGCGGTAAGGTTGTCAGCCTTACGTGCCGGCCGCGCTTTACTCCCCAGGAAGATTATTTAATTATTTCCTGGTACTCATTTCTGTTAGTGGCTGGGTGAACCCCAGGACCTAGTGCGGCTGGAAGGATTAGGTCAACTGAAAAAAAATCCATTGACCCCATCGGGACTTCAACCCGCGACCTTCCGGCTTGTTGCATAGTCCCTCAACCAACTTCGCTACCGTGTGCCCCGATTATAATGATAATAACCTTATTAAATAGAATTATAGAAGTTGCCGTTCTTGTTTTCATGTAAACTGCGTTTTGAGTCTTATCTACATGTATATAGTGCCTAAGCAGCGTTCAGTATTTAAATAAGTGAGGCACTGTAAGGTATTATACATTCATATACATGTGCATAATATTACATAGACCCTCATATATTCAGCAATGTGGTTACTGATTGCCTTGCAGAAACGATCTACATTAAACTTAATGTCAGACAGATGTTTGCATTAAGGTGGCTTCTTACTGAATACGTCTAATACCTTAACAGCTAACTCACGTTACAGCGTTCTTCGCAGCTGTGACACTGTGTGCTGGTGTTTCGTGGAACCTGCTGACTCAGTGTTAAGTGTAGATTTTATGTCTTGATCGACCTTTTGGATGTACCTTCTACTCTGAACATTGAAGCAGCTGCATAGCGTTTAGGTTACAATTTCGGTAGGAGTATGGACGCAGAAATTATATGGTGTGAAAAAAGGTAAAGTTGTTTCAGCATGCTTAATTAAGTAAGCACTACGCCATGAAGGCCTATGGGGGAGTGGATATATAGATCCATATTTTCTTGATCACGGCACTGGCTGGAGGTGAGTGGTCAGCTTCACGCCCACGCCGCTTTACCCCCGGGGAAAGAGCCCCCGGTACCCTTTGGATAGGAGGTTGAATGGAGCCCAGAGCACGTCTGGACGACGTGGTGAAGAGAAAACTCTTATCCCTACAGAGATTCGAAATCCAGTCCAGTCCGTAGCCAGTCGCTATCCAGGCTTCTGACTATGTAATGTTATGATAAATTTGCCTTGAAATGGAGACAGCAGGTTTCAGCTGTTTCAAGGAAATATCGGCTCCGGTCTAGAAAACCGAGATTAACGACCGTGGGGATCCGTTGCGCTGAGCACGCGACACCCTCTATCCGCTAAATTTGGCACATATTGGCCGACAAATGGCGGTCGTTCTGTTAGTATAATTCTCTTGCGGACTACAGGCCACGGAGTTCTTAATCTATACACAGTCGGTATGACTCCTCGGATGGGGGATCAGACCGTCACGAGGCCGCAGAACAAACGCAAACACACATCCATGCCTTGAGCTGGATTCGAAACCACCATCCCAGTGTTAGAGGGACCGATGACTTTTAATGCCTTAGATCGCGCGGCCACTGTGTTCGTTAGGCTATAATAGAATTAACTATAAAATTGTATTGTTTCTTGACTACACAAGAAACTGTACGGCTTTTCAAGAGAGGCTATGCTTAATGGAGTTAATTATGCATTTTACTGGACGCTAACTGTGACGTTTTGCTCTTGTACAGGTCAGAGTGACTGTTCTGGACAGAAACGACAGCCCGCCCTCATTCCGTGACACTCCACTGGAGTACTCCGTGTCAGAGGACCTTCCTACTGGACAGATGGTGGCCACGCTTAGAGCGAGTGACCCTGACACGTTGGGACATCTTACGTACAGTCTGGTGTCCGGGGATGACGGTCACTTTCAGCTGGACACTGCGGACACGGGTGTTCTACGGCTGAAAGAAGCCTTGGACAGAGAGGCACGTGACACCTACCGGCTGCAGATTCGGGCGTCTGATGGCGTACAGCACACCGATACCGTGGTCACCATCAAGGTAAGGAAAGCTCTGCAGTCTATTAGGACGTACAAGTTTCTTAGTTGGTTTTATCAAAACCCCTAAATCTTCCCTTATCTTCCTTCTGCTCTTAGTGTTTATGGGCAAGTGAGGCGGTTAGTCGCCGACTCCCGCCGCGGGGCGCAGGTACAGTCAAGTCGTGAGGTTTGTGGTGGGAAAAGTGGCATTGGGGTAGGTTGTCTTCGGGTACTTCAGTTTCCAATGCCAGTTCTCAAGTGCTCCATGTACTCATCTATCATCCGGGGCTGGTACAGGTAGACCAATCAGGGGCCAACGTACCACGAAACCAAAAAATGAATCTTAAAATTTATGGGTCTTATGAATTTTGAAGAGTACTAGGTTGTTGGATGTGACACTGTATAGTTTGATAGGTAGGTTCTGTTCGTTCCAAGACCATCTCCGAGTTTTGAAGTGGGCCCTCTCTTCGACGAGAGAAGGCGACCGATTACCGCCTCACTGACTGTCCTTCAGTAATTTTCTGCTCTCCATCGCCAGCCCTGAGAATTCAGCTGTGTCCGGCTTTGACACATGTATACTTCGTCACATCTGACACTTCTATGACGTACTAACCTTAATTTATATATATATATTTTTCCACAAATGAAGTGTTCTTTCTTCTGCTTTCACACTGATTTCTTGCTCGGTTTAATTTTCGACCCTGAATATGGAGGCGACATATTCCTCGAAACGTCTCTTGACTTTCAGCTGATTACACGGTGTTGTATCCCAGAAGATAGAAGTCTTCTTATCCACCGGTGTGGCTATTTTCGTCTTTCTGGCTGAGCGTCTAGTTTCGGATATTATTAGGCCATTTTATTTTCAGCATTCGTCGAAATATGTAAGATATGAAGTATAAGCTCTTGTGTTTCTGCTACAACGAAAAGCGAACATGAAACAGTCGAAGGAAATTGGATTAGGCAGTTGAGGACGACGCGTATGGAGACGAGTAAATCGCATCACTGTAACAATGTCGATTTCGCAACAGCCGCTAGCAAATATACACACGACACAATCTCAACGAAGCGTAGCTGTCATTCCAAGCCCTGTCCATTCTCCCTGTCTGTGTCTCCTTTAAATAAAAAAGATCATCTTACAGACGGAAAAATCTTTCTTGACTGTTTTATAAAGCGACCTCACAAAATAAATAAAACTAAATTCGAAATAAAGAGAATAGAAAAATACCGGTCCTCTTCTGTATGGAAGAGACCCCGAAACGGTGGTAAGCAAAATCAGATGGAATGCTGTTGGGGTAATTTGGTTGGGATTCCACAGCAAGCAGATCCTAGACGAGGGCAAGTAGAGACGGAAGAAGAAGAAGAAGACTGAGGAGCGTCAGTTACGGACGGACAGAACTCCCTCCATCCCTCCCTCCCCGTAAGCTTGCTAACTGCCAGTTTTTACTTCCTCTCCTCTTCTAGACTTGAAGCAGATTCTTATACCCGGAATATTAAAAATTCTACCAACCAGATTGTCGTCTATACCGGAGAGAAAAACCGCTAGTTTCCATCATTCGCAGAGCCCATTCTAATCGATGTGAGTGGTTATTAATCACTGACTCGTGGACCAGTGTTGCTCTGTGTCGGGAGGCATGGCTGTATTAGGTCACGTTGCTGATATCGTCCAGGGAAGTGAAGAAAAGTCACAATGTCTTAGTTAGCTGTTTTTTTTATGTGTATGTAGGAAGTTCCAGGTTTGAATAATGGCCCTCTGAGACTAGAAACTTCTGTTATTGGTTTATTTTGCCATTAACTCCAGACAGTATATTAGAGTGGGTCATGACCAGGGCACGGATCTTGATGATCTGAAAATATTTAAAAAATGCCCAATAAAATGACCGAAAAAATTCAGAAAAATTACCTAAAGGAGAAAAGAAAGAACACTTCGCTTCCATGTTATTCACATTTCAGAAAACCTATGAAGAAAATTTCCCTAAAATGGCCAAAAATGACAAGAAATACCCTTAAAAGTCCAAAAATTTACCAAAAAATTGCCCCCAAAATGAAAAGTGACTTTAAACCTAAAAATGACAAAAATTACCTATAAAATTTACATTTCTATAACCAGCAGCTCATATCCGAGATTTATATATTTAAGAGCATCGCATAGGATACAAGGAAAAAAAGATGACATGTCATCAAAATCCGGGCCCTGGTCATGACCAACGCTCCCTTTCAGCCGGGGATGCAGATGCGCAGGTCGTCGTGCCGTCCGAGCACCAATGGCGTTGGCTTGGTTAACCTGGGGGGGGGGTATTTCTAAAACGGTCCATAATTCACGTTAAATTTTTAAGCTCACAAAAAACAACAAATTATGGTCTATTTTTTTTTTCAGATTTATTTGTATTACTTCAAATTGATATGTACAAACTCTTTGGCCTGTAGTCCGCAAGCGAACTATACCGACGGAGCGATCTCCGCTTGTCGAAGTTATTGCAAACTTTTGCGGATAGAGGGTATCACGTGGTCTGCGCAAAGGATACCCACGGCTGTTAATTTCAGTTTTCTAGAATGGGGCCGCTATTTCCTTGAAACAGCTCCTCGGTTATCCTCACGAGGCTAATTGGACCCTGTTCCAGACTGACTACTTCTGAGCACCGGAAATCGAACCCGGGACCTCTAGATCTGTAGCCAGGAACTCTGACCACTATACCACAGAGGGGGTCCAGTTGACTTAACCAATAATAGTGCGCGAGATTACGACAGCCGCTGCGCGCGCAGCGTAAAGGGAATATTGGTCATGACTGCTTCCTTGCATGTTCTTCTCAATTCGTCAGTTATGTAATTTGACATCATATAATACTCGTATGAACATTAAGTTAAAATATGCGAGTGAGGAAGACTGTGAACGCATTTGTGTTCTTTAAATGTGATCTGACGGCACTACACGACCTCTCGTCCTATAGGAGAGTAATCCTGGCCCCCCAGCCCCCGACTTTGTTTATAGAGTGCGTGGAGGTTTCCACAATGCCGCTTCTCTCCTCTGTGACATTGTTATTAGTCACAATTAGTTACGTAGGTCGTCATTATCTCTGGTTTTTGGACAGCCCTTTTCCCTGCCCCTTTGGCAGAGACATCAGGAAGATCAGATCCTTGCTGTCTGAGCCAGAGTGAAAAGGAAGGCAGAAGAAATCTAGGGAGAATATCTCGCCTAAGTCGAGCAGGTCGGAATTTGTAGGCTGTAATGCCTGAGTCCATTTTGTTGGGATGTTTATGAGTGGACGGGAAGTTTTTATTTACTTCCTTCCCTCTTCAACATTATCTTTCACTCTCTCGGTCAGGTTTCCTGCACGTGTTCCTAAGCAGTTACAAAGGAAAAGAAAGAAAAGATTTGGTCGATTTCTCTCGTCTCACGTTTTTAAGTACGTTCCGTTTTAAAGCCTTAAAAGCGCCACGCGTTTCTTACAGATCTATCGGTGATTGGGCCATATGCTGTGTCACCCCATTCGCTTGACGGGAGTAAGGAGAGACGTACGAAAATACATTCCAGGATGGAATTTGAACCGAATACGAGACACCAACGCTAACCACCGTACCTATACAAAACAAAAATCAAACTCCTTGGCCTGTATTCCGCAAGCGAACTATACCGACTGAGCGACCGCAGCTTGTCGGCGAAGTTAGTGTCCCCTTTTGCGGATAGAGGGTGTCGCGTGGTCAGCGCAACGAATCCCCATGACCGTTAATCTCGGTTTTGAAGACCGGAGCCGCTATTTCCTTGAAATAGCTCCTCAGTTATCCTCACGAGGCTGTATGGACCCCGTTCCAGACCCTCTACTTCTCAGAAAATCTTGTAGCGCCGGGAATCGAACCCGGACATCTGGATCTGTAGCCAGGAACTCTGCAGAGGCGGTTGATCAACTTTCTTATCCCATAATGATCGATGGATTTTTTGTCAGTCTGAGTGACTGTTTCTTAAAAATGAGTTCCCCTTCATTGAGCTGGAGCTGTTGGCGTACTGTGAGTCACAGAGACTTCTCGTTGCAGTCGTCGTGTCTTGTCTTGGATTTAACGCTTAAGTCACGAAACTTTCCTTATACGAGTAATATCTTGTTGCCTCAGTGGAATGTACAGCAATGGAGAATTCCCAAATAAAACTGTCTGTGCGGGAACCTACTGAAGCACCGTAAAAATCAGTTTTGGGAAGTGAGTGGTTTAATGGAAGAAGGGAACATATCGTAACTCGAAATGCAAAATAGTGTGGGTCAGAGGTTAGAAACATTAGAAGACAAATTTATGTGGGGGGAGATTCTTTATTGCCTACGACATTTCAAACCCATGCATAAACTTTNAACGTCGGTTAACACCACATATACACGGTGCCAAATCCCAGAAGACTGCTTTCTTCAGGTTTAATTTTGGAAACGGGGTTACACGTGGAAACATTTCTCTTCTCGTAGTTCTCGTGATTATTTCCCCTGCTGTATCTCAAGTGGTCAGTTGTTAGCATCTTACCTCGAAAGTATGGGTTGAATTTTAGGGTAGTACATGTCTGACAGAGTGGCACTGCGACAGTTTTCTGCTTTCCTCACCAATCACCACTCTACCACTGTTCCATATTCATTCATCGTCATAGTATTTTGGGGCCGGTAGCCTCGCCACACTTTGGCGTCTACGTAAATTATTTTTCATTATGCGTTATCCTCTGTTCCTCTGATATCTTCTCTTTCCTACTTCTCCAGGTTTCTTATTCTCGTGCTCTTCCTTTCTAATCTTTTCCTTCTCTTCTTTCTTCGTTCTTTTTCTGCTTCTCCCTTTTCCTTCCTCTTTCCTCATCTCCCTTTTTACACTTTCTAATAGATCACTGTGGTTGCGGTGCAAGGGCCAAGAACCCCCCCCCCTTTTCCATTCATTCATATTCTAATTTGTCTCCTTCCGGTTCTGATCCAAATGAAAGAGAGAATAAGATAGTTCCTTGATCATATTCGTTATTATCTGAAGGAGACATTTCTTAGACTTAATTACACTGCCATAATAGAACTA